CACCCCATAACACCCCAAAATCCACAGGGACACCCCAAAAACACCCAGAGACACCCCAAAAACACCCAGAGGCACCCCGAAAACACCCAGAGACACCCCAAAATCCACAGGGACACCCCAAAAACACCCCAAAGCACCCCAAAACACCCCAAAGACACCCCAAAACACCCCAAAGACAGCCCAAAGACACCCCAAAATACTGCAAAAACACCCAGGGACACCCCAAAATTCCCCAAAACACCCCAAAATCCTCAGGAACACCCCAAAGACACCCCAAAATCCCCGGGGACACCCCAAAATCCTCAGGGGACACCCCAAAATCCTCAGGGACACCCCAAAATACCCCAGGGACACCTCAAATCCATGGGGGACACCCCAAAATCCACAGGGACACCCCAAAATCTCCAGGGACACCCCAAAACCCCCAAAGACAACCCAAGATCACCCCAAAACACCCCAAAATCCTCGGGGACACCCCAAAATCCTCAGGGACACCCCAAAAACACCCCAAAAACACCCCGAGACACCCCAAAATCCCCAGGGGAACCCCCGCACTCACATCTCGCCCCCCTTGAGGGAAATGACCATCTTGTCGTAGGAGATGAAGGTGGCCTGGGCACAGTCCAGAGTCATCCTCACCCCCTCCCACCCACCTGGAACAGCAACAGTCACACCTGAGACACCTGGGGACACACCTGGGCACAGTCCAGAGTCATCCTCACCCCCTCCCACCCACCTGGAACAGCAACAGTCACACCTGAGACACCTGGGGACACACCTGGGCACAGTCCAGAGTCATCCTCACCCCCTCCCACCCACCTGGAACAGCAACAGTCACACCTGAGACACCTGGGGACACACCTGGGCACAGTCCAGAGTCATCCTCACCCCCTCCCACCCACCTGGAACAGCAACAGTCACACCTGAGACACCTGGGGACACACCTGGGCACAGTCCAGAGTCATCCTCACCCCCTCCCACCCACCTGGAACAGCAACAGTCACACCTGAGACACCTGGGGACACACCTGGGCACAGTCCAGAGTCATCCTCACCCCCTCCCACCCACCTGGAACAGCAACAGTCACACCTGAGACACCTGGGGACACACCTGGGCACAGTCCAGAGTCATCCTCACCCCCTCCCACCCACCTGGAACAGCAACAGTCACACCTGAGACACCTGGGGACACACCTGGGCACAGTCCAGAGTCATCCTCACCCCCTCCCACCCACCTGGAACAGCAACAGTCACACCTGAGACACCTGGGGACACACCTGGGCACAGTCCAGAGTCATCCTCACCCCCTCCCACCCACCTGGAACAGCAACAGTCACACCTGAGACACCTGGGGACACACCTGGGCACAGTCCAGAGTCATCCTCACCCCCTCCCACCCACCTGGAACAGCAACAGTCACACCTGAGACACCTGGGGACACACCTGGGCACAGTCCAGAGTCATCCTCACCCCCTCCCACCCACCTGGAACAGCAACAGTCACACCTGAGACACCTGGGGACACACCTGGGCACAGTCCAGAGTCATCCTCACCCCCTCCCACCCACCTGGAACAGCAACAGTCACACCTGAGACACCTGGGGACACACCTGGGCACAGTCCAGAGTCATCCTCACCCCCTCCCACCCACCTGGAACAGCAACAGTCACACCTGAGACACCTGGGGACACACCTGGGCACAGTCCAGAGTCATCCTCACCCCCTCCCACCCACCTGGAACAGCAACAGTCACACCTGAGACACCTGGGGACACACCTGGGCACAGTCCAGAGTCATCCTCACCCCCTCCCACCCACCTGGAACAGCAACAGTCACACCGGGAACAGTCACACCTGGGCACAGTCACACCTGGGGACAGGGATGGGACAGGGAAAGGAAAAGAGGAGGAGGAAGATGAGGACAATGAGGAAGATGAGGATGAGTGGGACGATGATGAAGATGGGAATGACAAGGATGAGGAAGATGAAGATGACGATGAGGATGATGAAGATGAGGATGATGAAGATGAGGATGATGATGAAGGTGCTGATGATGAAGGTGACGATAAGGATGATGATGAAGATGAGGATGATGAAGATGAGGATGATGATGAAGGTGACGATAAGGATGATGAGGAGGAGCATGAAGATGACGATGATGAAGATGATGAGAAGGAGGAAGATGAGGATGATGAAGGTGAGGATGAGGAAGATGAAGATGAGGAAGAGAACAAGGATGAGAAGGATGAGATTGACAAGGATGAAGATGAGGATGACAAGGATGAGGATGATGAAGATGAGAATGATGAAGGTGAAGATGAAGGATGATGAGGAGGAGGATGAAGATGACGATGATGAAGGTGATGAGAAGGAGGAAGATGAGGATGATGAAGATGAGGATGAGGATGATGAAGATGAGGAAGAGAACAAGGATGAGAAGGATGAGATTGACAAGGATGAAAATGTCATGACAAGGATGAAGATGATGAAGATGAGGATGATGAAGATGATAGCGATGAAGATAATGAAGATAAGGGAGGATGATGATGAGGATGATGATGAAGGTGACAATAAGGATGATGATGAGGATGACGAAGATGAGGATGATGATGAAGGTGACGATAAGGATGATGATGAAGATGAGGATGATGATGAAGGTGACGATAAGGATGATGAGAAGGAGGAAGATGAGGATGATGAAGGTGATGAGAAGGAGGAAGATGAGGATGATGAAGATGAGGATGAGGATGATGAAGATGAGGAAGAGAACAAGGATGAGAAGGACGAGATTGACAAGGATGAAGACGAGGATGACAAGGATGAAGATGATGAAGATGAGGATGATGAAGATGATAGCGATGAAGATAATGAAGATAAAGGAGGATGATGAAGATGATGAGGAGGATGATGAAGGTGACAATAAGGATGATGATGAAGATGAGGATGACGAGGATGATGATGAAGGTGACGATAAGGATGATGATGAAGATGAGGATGATGATGAAGGTGACGATAAGGATGATGAGGAGGAGCATGAAGATGACGATGATGAAGATGATGAGAAGGAGGAAGATGAGGATGATGATGATGAGGATGAGGATGATGAAGATGAGGAAGAGAACAAGGATGAGAAGGATGAGATTGACAAGGATGAAGATGAGGATGACAAGGATGAGGATGATGAAGATGAGAATGATGAAGGTGAAGATGAAGGATGATGAGGAGGAGGATGAAGATGACGATGATGAAGGTGATGAGAAGGAGGAAGATGAGGATGATGAAGATGAGGATGAGGATGATGAAGATGAGGAAGAGAACAAGGATGAGAAGGACGAGATTGACAAGGATGAAGACGAGGATGACAAGGATGATGATGATGAAGATGAGAATGAGGATGAAGATGAAGGATGATGAGGAGAATGATGATGAGGAGGAGGATGAAGATGATGATGATGAAGATGATGAGGAGGAAGATGAGGAGGATGAGGAAGAGAACAAGGATGAGAAGGATGAGATTGACAAGGATGAAAATGTCATGACAAGGATGAAGATGATGAAGATGAGGATGATGAAGATGAGGATGATGATGATGAAGATGAGGATGACGATGAAGAAGATGATGAAGATGAGGGTGATGAAGATGATGATGAGGGTGATGATGATGATGAAGATGAGGAAAAAGATGAAGAAGATGACAATAAGCATGATGAAGATGATGATGACGGAGATGACGATAAGGACGATGATGATGAGGATGATGAAGATGAGGATGAAGATGATGAAGATGAGAATGATGAAGATGAGGAGGAGGAGGAGGGTGAGAGTGATGAGGATGATGAAGATGATGACGAAGATGATGAAGATGAGGATGATGATGAAGAAGATGATGATGATGAGGGTGATAAGGATGACGATGATGAAGATGAGGATGATGAAGATGATGATGAAGATGAGGATGATGAAGATGAGGATGATGATGATGAAGATGAGGATGACGATGAAGAAGATGATGAAGATGAGGGTGATGAAGATGATGATGAAGATGATGATGACGATGATGAAGATGAGGATGACGATGATGAAGATGAGGATGATGATGATGATGATGAAGATGAGGGTGATGAAGATGATGATGAAGATGATGATGAAGATGAAGATGAGGATGACGATGATGAAGATGAGGATGATGATGATGATGATGATGATGATGAAGATGATGATGAAGATGATGATGATGAAGATGAGGATGAAGATGAGGATGATGATGATGAAGATGAGGATGAAGATGAGGATGATGATGAGGGTGAGGCTGAGGAGGGCGGTGGCGAGGCCGAAGGCAGCAGCCCTTACGCAGCGGGAAGACGGTGGTGCCGCAGGTGAGGCTGTTGAGGGCCACCCCGTACGGGGGTACGCTCTGGTTCAGGTACAGCAGGGAGTTCACCGCGAAGATCACCACGCCACCTGCAGGGGACAGGGTCACGGTGTCACCTGTGTGTCACCTGTGTGTCACCTGTGTGTCACAGTGTCACATTGTCACCTGTGTGTCACCTGTGTGTCAGTGTCACCTGTGTGTCACCTGTCACACTGTCACCTGTGTGTCACCTGTGTGTCACCTGTGTGTCACAGTGTCACACTGTCACCTGTGTGTCACCTGTGTGTCACCTGTGTGTCACCTGTGTGTCAGTGTCACCTGTGTGTCACCTGTCACACTGTCACCTGTGTGTCACCTGTGTGTCACCTGTGTGTCACATTGTCACATTGTCACCTGTGTGTCACCTGTGTGTCAGTGTCACCTGTGTGTCACCTGTCACACTGTCACCTGTGTGTCACCTGTGTGTCACCTGTGTGTCACCTGTGTGTCACAGTGTCATTGTCACCTGTGTGTCACCTGTGTGTCAGTGTCACCTGTGTGTCACCTGTGTGTCACAGTCTCACATTGTCACCTGTGTGTCACCTGTCACACTGTCACCATGCCACCTGCAGGGGACAGGGTCACCTGTGTGACACCTGTGTGTCACCTGTGTGTCATCTGTGTCACCTGTGTCACCTGTGTGTCACCTGTGTGTCACCTGTGTGTGACACCTGTGTGTCACCTGTGTGTCACCTGTGTGTCACCTGTGTGTGACACCTGTGTGTCACCTGTGTGTCATCTGTGTCACCTGTGTCACCTGTGTGTCACCTGTGTCACAGTGTCACATTGTCAACTGTGTGTCACCTGTGTGTGTCACCTGTGTGTCACCTGTGTGTCACCTGTGTGTCACCTGTGTCACATTGTCACCGTGTCACCATGCCACCTGCAGGGGACAGGGACAGTGTCACACCTGTGTGTCACAGTGTCACCTGTGTCGCAGTGTCACCTGTGTGTCAGCTGTGTCACCCGTGTGTCACCTGTGTCACATTGTCACCTGTGTACCACCTGTGTCACCTTGCCACCTGCAGGGGACAGTGTCACACCTGTGTCACCTGTGTCACATTGTCACAGTGTCACCACACCACCTGCAGGGGACAGTGTCACCTGTGTAACATTGTCACCTGGGTTACATTGTCACACTGTCACCTGTGTCACTGTCACTGTGTCACTGTCACTGTCACCGTGTGTCACTGTCACTGTCACTGTGTCACTGTCACTGTGTCACTGTCACTGTGTCACTGTGTCACTGTGTCACTGTCACTGTCACTGTGTCACTGTCACTGTCACTGTGTCACTGTCACTGTGTCACTGTCACTGTGTCACTGTGTCACTGTGTCACTGTCACTGTCACTGTGTCACTGTCACTGTCACTGTGTCACTGTCACTGTGTCACTGTCACTGTGTCACTGTGTCACTGTGTCACTGTCACTGTCACTGTGTCACTGTCACTGTCACTGTGTCACTGTCACTGTGTCACTGTCACTGTGTCACTGTGTCACTGTGTCACTGTCACTGTCACTGTGTCACTGTCACTGTCACTGTGTCACTGTCACTGTGTCACTGTCACTGT